ATTTTCATCAAGTGTCAGCCAGTTTCATTCAACATTTGAAAGGTGGTCGAATTTTGTGAAACTGTTAACGAATGAATTATAGTTTTTTTACATCCCAGGTATATCATTACTTTTATTAGGTGATCAAAGTAACTTTTTGTTGATCCTCTACAAGACGTGAGCAAAATTAATTATTTGAAAAAGTTCCATCCATTCATTTCAAGAACAAAAAAAGTGTGATCAGTCATCCATGAATGAATTTCATTTGGAAATGATCACTCCAATAAAAACTGAATCACGTAGGACACGAAGTTCAGTCACCAGAAACAACGTAACAAACAAATGGATGAGTGAGACCTTCAAAGAGCTTTACCTCCAAAAATCAGGCCATCGTGTACCAGTAGTTCCTTCTCAAATCAGTTAAGAATATGTCTGAACTGACACGATAGCACTCGAAACAGGCAGAAATATGATTCAAATCTTTCCATATCTGGTGGAAAAACCGCGAATAAAATTGATATTGTAGATTTTTGGTTTTTAGGAAAGAATACATACCCTTCACACATAACTCCTGAAAACCAAAATGACACTGCGAATATACCCACTATCACTGAAGAGTCCCTTCGAAACCGAAATGAAGCCATTATTTTCGTAGAAGTCGTGTGTTAAGTGTTAATATTTTGCACTGATATATGCGCACTGATAAGAGCCTACTAAGATGGAGCAAGGTTAATCCCAGCTCTTATAGGTTGTAAATAATGACGACCAACTAAAAAACCGCACTTAATCAGGACTGGAACAATGATTTCTTATTCGAATTATTACCCTTTACTATTTCATTTCGCAATGATTACAATTGCGGTCAGTAAAGTCAGTATGGAATGCTAATTTTTCATTAATAAATTTATTCGAAGATCAAATTTGGCATCGATCGAGATGAAAAATAATTATGAAAAATGGTTTGTATTACCTGTCTACTTCGATTTGATAAAGTTGGAGTTATTTATTCCTCATTCATTCTAGCAATGCTCAACCCAGACGAATTTTCTTTAGGCAGATATTTTTTCACCATATACAACTAGGGGCATTGAAATGTGATGCAGACTTTTTTGGCTACGGTTTAAGACAACTTCACGAAACATCTATTTGTGTAAGTTACTTTGTTCCTAAAAATATAACATTATTATTACAACAAACAAGTAAACAGCCTCATCAGTGTAGTCTGCAACCAATCAATATTTGATTTTCACATTATGACACATTTGACTTTTTCGAAATTTTTCAATTATTTGTAGAAAACTATCATGACAAAATTAGATTCTTGAAAAATTTGAAAAAAAAATAAATTAATGAAAACTATTCACAAAAATGTTAATAATGTAAGTAAGGACTGCTCAATTTCATTCTTGTTAAACTTTTCTCCAAAATTTGCAACAATAAATTCATTATAACATTGGAATTGACAGTTCAAAAATAACTTTTCAAAACGCTGAAAGGTGGGAACTAGTTTCCTCCTTTTTATGAAAGAGGATGAAAGTTGCTATTGTGTTATTATTCAACTCAATCAACCAATTTCCAGGGCCGTAATTCAAAAGGTAATAATTCACAATTATAACATTGGAATTGACAGTTCAAAAATAACTTTTCAAAACGCTGAAAGGTGGGAACTAGTTTCCTCCTTTTCATGAAAGAGGATTAAAGTTGCTATTGTGTTATTATTCAACTCAGTCAACCAATTTCCAGGGCCGTAATTCAAAAGGGAATAATTCACACAATTATAATCAAATGTTACGGAAATATCCCGAAATTTAAAATTAAATTTACTTTCTAAGTATGAAGTGAACGTCAACGATACCAAAACTACAACAAACTGTACAAAAGATTCATGGGCATATTCTGATAGCCCACATCAAGTGCCAATAGCAAAATGTGGACAGATTTTCAATATGTCTGCGAATAAAAAAGATATAAGTAAAAAAATTATTTGGGATTGTTTGGTTCTTCTTGTATATCTCCAGAACCAGAAGAGCTATATTCGATTTTTTCACATCATTGAATAGGTCTCTGAAATACGCAAGTAAATATTGAATATTGGCATTATTAAAAAAGGTTTAATAATGTCGTTTGGAAATCAGATGCATGATGACCAAGCTGATAGGTGTAATGCGAGTTTCTGCCTGTGTAGTATATTCCAGCTCTATATTTTCCCAAATTTCAATTTCGTATCATCCATTGCAGCCCAGTGTATTTTCCAGCCTCAACCGGCTTACTCTTGCCTGTTTCATACATGTCAAGTGGGTGCCCTTAGAATCTAGTAGTCTGTTAAAAGTGAAAGCTGCAACAAGAGGTAGAAAGAGATTTCAAATCTGGTGGTTGGTGACGAAGTTTTCTTTTACACGACTGTTGTGATTTGTGGTTTCATATTTGATAAAATATTCAGTTACTGAAATATTATTTGAATTTCGATCAGCAAGTGTGTTTTTACCTATGACGAGTATTATTCCCAATCATGAAATTTTATTTCTAGGAATTCCTATTTATTTCATGTTCTTACAACCTCGGGATTTGCGACTGGAGATACTCTTACAGTTATCAATACGAGCAGGAAAAATTAGCGGTTTTCTGCTGTAACTTTCAGTCGCAGATACATTGCGGTTATGAAATCATTGATCATAAGAAACGTTTTTTGGTAAGAAAGATTTTTGGCTTTCTACTTCTCTATCTTCATACAAAAAATATGGGAATTTCCAGAAAAAGGAAAGAAGCAATTATTTTCAAAAAATTAACTCTATAGGTACAATGATGTGAAGATCATGCAAAGAAGTAACTTTCTGACACAAACTGAAAAAAAAGCCCTCTCTAAACAGCTATTTTCATGTAAATATTGAATTACACAGAAGAAAACAAATTCGAAACAAATACTTTCAGGTATATGAACACTGAATTATACGAAAAATTATATACATCAATTTAAGAAAGAAACAAAATCACAGATGCTTACTGCTTGGTGCTAATTTGAAACATTCAAAATTCAATGTATGGTAGTGTAATGGAATTGTTGACCATGTTAAATTGACCAAAATAATGTTAAGAATATTAAGAGTTATAAGCAATTATATGATATATTATATTTTTCTCTTCTCTATCGTTTATATGATAATATCATATCAATGATAATTATTTTCTTGCACTCACTGTATAATTTTTAGAGGGGGTGGAAGATAACCTTTGGCTAACTCTTTTCTTTTTATGTATAAATGTATTTTTTATGCATAATAAACGATATTATTATTATTTTCAATAGTTTTTGAGATATTCGCAAAGACGATCCTCCTTTTATGCTTGAATTAAAATTTTTGAATTATTTGTTACCACATCTTGGCAAAAATCGTACTCTGTGTGAAATTACAAATCGAACTATACCTCAATCATAATTTTTGATGAAGGGAACTGCAATCATGTGAAATGTCACTTGTGAATAAGCGTATGGATGTCGTAAATAATATCAGTACTGATTTTTGTCGGTGTTTTGAAAATTTGTTTTGTTGTCTTGTGTTGTTTTAAGTATGTGTTTCCACAATAATACCTCTCAGATTTTAAAACAGAAATCATACCAATGCTTCCACGTGCACATAAAAAACTACAGTTCAGTTTGAAAAATGTTACAACTTTTCCAATCGGAACCCGGGACAGTATAAATATTTCCATATGTGATACAACTATTTCACAATATCCAAAGTCATCAACCTCCGAAATCCTTTATCTCGAACTCTTTCATGGAAAAGAAGCTAAATACGTTGGATACGAATTCATTTATACAGCTGGATCAGCTTTAATTACGTTTACCTCAAAACATTATTTCTGCCAACCACCGACATGTACCATTTACACCGGAAAACTTTTTGCTATAGCAGAGGCTATTTCAAAAGCAAAAAAACTATGTTTAAACAGTTACATTTACTAATCCACTCAGTGCAATACGAGGAATCCAACAATTGTACCCAAAAAAACAAGTTAGAATGCATAAAAAAATAACTATACGAATAGTACCAGAGAAACAAACATTTTGAGACTGAATTAATTCCTTCTCACTTTGGCTATGAAATGGCACACCAAATAGTAAAACAAGCCCCAGAAAATCCAGAAGCCATGAAAGGCTCTTCAATCCCATATCAAGACTCCAAACGGGCTATAAAAGAAAAGTTCAGACGACACTGGTTCACAAGATGGGAGAACTATAATAACAAACTGAAATATATTGATTCAAACATAATCAAACACGTAGCAGAAGGAATGAGTATGAGACATCAAGTAATTTACTCCAGGTTACCAATAAGACATACCAAAATGCGCCACCAGCATATCTTCAAGAAATAAGAACCTGTTGATTGTGAATCCTGTGAACAGGAAACACATTTTGTCGGAATTCTCCGCCCCAGAACAACAAAGAAAATCCTGTGGACTATCAAATGACTTCCAAGAGAATCTACAGGAAAGTGAAATTAGTGACCTTATGCCCTGAAGCCAATTTGATACTGGAGAACAGTTTTCTCTCACAGACAAATCCCCAAATTTGGTGTTCTGTTGTTAGACTTTTGCATATCACTTTTTTTAGATATAACGGAAATAACTTTGCAATTATGTATCGTTAAATATGTGAGCCAGGGGGGAGGGGGCCAAGGTGAGTGAACAAAAGTGAAAAAGCTTTAGTTGTAAAGTATAGAGTGATTTTTCCCATTAGATTACGGTAACTCCACCCGGATAACCAAAGTTCCCACTGAAATATTTAGTTTATCAAAACTGAAAGCCTTTTTTTTGCATTTTCTTCAGTAAACTCATGAATTCTTCATAACGAATTAGGTCGAAGAAAAAAAATTACGACATTTGGAGAATGATGAATTTGTTGAGGAGAAAATAATTACATTTTTTGAGAGTAAGTTATTTTCTGTATTTGTGATTCATTTTTACATTATACATTTCGAGATGAACGAATAAAACCAGAAAACGAATAGGAGACTTACCTGAAATAGGCAATAATGATCAAGTAACATTGTTGTCTGAACATCATTTTTGCATAGGTACTTTTAGAATAAATGATAGCACAACACAAAACTGATGATAATAAACATGGTTGATTGCTACGCTGTACGAATACACCTATCAAACTTCCATTTCTTTATGAATGCTCATTTCGGTATTGCAGTCGTTAAAATACATTCGTTTCATTATTCGATATTTTCGTGACTATTGAAAGAGTACTTAGAAATTCTGGTCATTTTGAGATATCAAATGTATTGATTAATGTAACGGTTAGTAAAAATGGTTATGGTACGATTTCTGCCAAGTGACTAACAACTTTCAAGTCACCAAGCTCGAACGACGTGAAAACAATAGTCTCAATCATTGAATAATCGTGATCATGAATATAAAAAAAATCAATATTTATGTTCTTCAGAAAACAGCAATCTTTATTGAAATGTTTAACGAGTAGCTAGGAAAAGAAGGTCAGTCACGGCAGAGCCCCGCATAACCGTGACAAGGCGATGCTACGACGAGAAGGCGCCCGGTATCTCGAAGGTTCCGTATAGCTCATCTTTCGAATTGTTCCATATAGAAGTTGGCAACAACAGGACTTATCATCACAACTCTTAATTTTTCTCACATAATTTTCCACTCCACTGAAGGAATGTTGATGTTAAGTAATGTGAAAGAACCCGCTAATGAGTTGCAAGGTTTCACTAATCGGAACCATTGTGAATGGATTTATCTACGCACTTGTGGCTGTAGCAGATCCGATAAGTATTTGACGATCTCATACGTCGGAAACCCTGTAGCACTTACGAAGCCATAGAAATACATAAACATACAAATAGTTTCAACCCCAAGGAAGATAGCTCAAACATCAATAAGACATGGATACCGGCATTTCATAACACAAATATTCTCCAAATAATTGAAAAGGAGTCGGTTCCATCATAAGTACAAACGCACCAGTACCATTTTCATTTGCATAGCAAGATAGATCACTTCGACCATTGACGCAACACCGTTAATAATGTCTGCCGCAGTAGCTGACGAAACGACAGGCTTAAAAACTTTCAGACTACCGCGAATAAAACCGGAAACATCAGACAAATTGTTAGAAACTGGCCGTGAAAGCCTACACACCAAGATATAATCTGTCATTTTTGAAATGTCTGATGTAGGACAAATCTTGCGAAGAATCTTTCTAGAACACTAGAGCTATGACAAATGTTTCACATATATATGTGCCTAAGTGTCGCGGGAGCCATGAGAACGACCCCAACTGCAGCACTTGAGGTCCTACTCGGACTTTCACCATTGCACATCTACATACAATGGGAAACTCACTGCTGACACAGGCTAATGCAGGGGCAAATCCCAATCAGCCAGTCACACGGTGCAGAATACTGAATACTGAATACAATGAACCGAAGGCAGATCCAATACTACGAATGCCCGTGGATAACACAGTTCCTCAGTACAATTTTTGAAGATTTCAAAATCATCATACCATGTAGAAAGGACTAACAAAATGGGCCACCGGTAAAAGCGGAAAAAAATTGGTATACAGATGGCTTAAAGACCCAAGAAGGAATGGGAGCCGGTATATACGGAGGCAGAGCAAAGACGAGAATCGCACTTAGCCTCGGACATAATGCAACTGTGTTCCAGGCAGAAGTAGCGGTCATCGAACACTGTATAGGGGAAATAAACAGGCAGAAGGTCATAAATGAAACCATTACCATTTTCTCCGACAGCCAGGCGGCAATTGAGGTGCTCAGCTCATTCCAAGACTGGTGGGAAGCTACTTGAGTGCACTCAAGGAGCTGAGTACACAAAAGAGGGTCATTCTCGCTTGGGTACCCGGACATGAGGGTCACAAGGCCAATGAGGAGGCCAATGTTCTAGCCTGTGAAGGTACATAAACTAACAGGTCCATAAACTCATGGATGTAAGCCGAATCGATATATTGTTGTAACAAGCTCCCAGGACTGAGGCAGGCGAAAGAGTTCAGAAATAAACCAACGCCTAGATTCACGGAAGATCTGCTAAACCACAAGCGTAAGGTTGTGAGGGTAGTGGTGATCATCATCAGCTGTGAAATTATCAGCTCAATGTACTAAATCATGACGCGAAGTTATTATATTACTGAGAAAGTATTCGAAAATAAGTTTTTGAAGAGTAAGAAATTTCAAGAAACCTGTCATTCGATTCAACAAAAGCGAAGTATTTTACCCAATGTCTTTCAATGTCCTTCAGATGCTGAATTTGAAATTCCAGTTTGCCACCATGAAAGAAGCCTTCTTCGTAACGAAAAATAAACTCATAAAATATATATGTTTCCGCTATTTTTTGTTTTTCACTTCAAAACCATTCACTTCATTCCAATGAAAGCAGACTGTTGAAAATAGTTATGAATGTTCGGGAATTGTCTGGAACGTTCAAGAAACTTCCAGAACGTCACAGATCGTTGTGTTATAAGTATAATGATTGATATGGTGTGACAGTTCTTTATCCCTCATTCATTGAGAAGGTTGCCGATTTCACCTGAAAAGCGTGGTTTTGAAAAAATGAGGGCCAGGATATTATGTTTTCTGAAAATTTCTAGAACAATCCAGAACATTCGAGGGCAATGCACAATATTTCAAAATATTTCGGATAATTCTGGCATAAGTTCGAATTTTCCAAAGAAAGGAAGGAAGCAATCTATTTTAAAAGCGATAACTCTATACACATATGTGTAGATCATGCATAGGAGTGGTAGAAAGCCAAAAACTTTCTTTCCCAAAAATTAATCACTCCTAAAAATATAATCCTTTCTATATATTCTGGAATATTCCCAGAGAGTAGACTTTCAAACCGCAATTGTTATCATAACGCTTTTGTGAAATGAGTGAAAAAACATTCCACTCATCCCACTGATGAGGAAAAATAATGTTTCACATGATAAATCATTTACTTTTGTAGGATATATTTCACCCTTCACAGAAATCATATTGAAGACATTAAACGCGTGTAGTGAGTGAATTGCATTGTTTCGTCTTGAATTTAGAAAATATAAACAACGAACTGCTTTATAGTCGAAAATAACTTTGTTGGAACTGTAATTAATACACCAAGGATACCGATAATTACTGAATAATAACACTAAAATTTTCGAAAGCACGTTGTCAAACTACTCAAAGCGTGCTTGGGAAACTGTTTATGAAATTATAAGTTTACATTGGCGAATGAGAGACATGATATAATTTTTTTTACAAATTTCGAGAATATCGGAAACAAAATTATTGAACCATAGATCAGCAACGAGATATACATTTGTATGTACTGTTTTCGTAGATCTGTGTGTGACTGAGAGCTAAGATCAAAATACCCACTACAACTAGGTAGTTATACTTTTCAATTTCAAAAACAATGTTCGAGTATTTGGTCTTGAATCACAGCTTTCAGCAAAAAGCCTTCTTAATATTTTCGATAAATTTTTCCGAAAGTTTCCATCATAGGTTAAAATGAGGCAAGCAAGGTGAGTGCGTGGACGAAGCAGTGAGAAAATATGCAAACCGCAGACACGTGTTTCTGGCTCATGAGCTGTCATCAGTACAATATAGCAAGTGCAAGGTTAGGCAACACTTGCTTGCAGAAACAACACAAGTGCACGGAGTCATCAACAGAAGCCACCTCACGTATTATGGTTTCGGTTAGGTCACCCTGGCTTAGATATATCACTAAGTCACCACAAGGTAGCTTTAGCTACCTGCATGACATGTCCATGAATTTTTTCTGCTAAAGCAGAAAAAATTCATGACTTCTGGTGAGGACTTCGTGCATTTGTGTTGTTTCTGCTACCAAGTGTGGTCTAACCTTGCATTTGACTGTACCGTGCTGATGAAAGCTAATGAGCTTCTGAGTGCTTCATCCATTATTTTTCCTACTTTTGATAATATTGAAGACACTCGCTGAACTGTTTCGGAGTACTAGCTCCTCGTCAGTACCGGAACGTTCATTTACATAAGAAGTGAACTTGCGACGAATCTTCCAAATGGAAGACGTTGCACAGGTGCCTGATATTTGTTGTACATTTTTACTCCAGCTTTCTGCGCAGCATGAGCTAGTTGTATTTCCACCTCTCTGGAATATGAGTATCATTCTGACTTCTACCCCGAAGTATGTCTTTAGGGAGTAGTTTCCTGGCTTTGTCTGCAGGTGGCGCAGTGGTACATCTCACTGAATCAATTGCAGATAGAGCTTATGACGAGTTGGAATTGATTTCATTTGTTCGGAATATTCAGACGTAACTATAGACTGTAATCTAGAGCGGTTACGTTATAAAATTGTTTATACACAATGTGTAAAAACATGGACTTATAAATAACGTAACGCAACGCAACACGTACCGTAATGCAAGCATTAACGGAAAATGCCAAATGTTAATTTTAAAGATCACACACCGTAACGCTTACCAAAAAGAAGGAAATTCTCGAAATTGTTTTGATCTCAAATATGTTGATGATGATGAATGAATTGTTTATATACAGCAAATGTTAATTGCAGAAGTAGTGATTGAAAAACTGGGTAAACCAACTGTGAAGCATTCCTAACTGTCAATTGTTGAAAATAGGGATTTTGTGCCCTGATTTGTTATCCGTAAGGAACATTCCACAAGAAATGAAACGTTTTGCATTTGCGTTACGTTTGCGTTACCTAATCTATAAATTCAACTTCACGTTACGGGGAATTGAATCATGTAAATATTCTTTTCTGAAATCCTTCTCGGTGCGGAAGAAAACGAAAGTTATGCACCAATGGAGAAGCGTCTCATTGATAAATATGAGAATAGAAAAATGTGTAGTAGATTTCGAGAAGAGTATCACGGGAAGTGAAGTGTCTCAATTGTCCCAATAATACTATATATTGGGATATTATCTGTAATGTATTCAACCCTAATTTGAGGGACTATAGTTTCTGTTCCCAAGCTTATTTTCCAACAAGCAATTTGAGCAATCCGTAGATTTCCTATTACTTGAGATCATTACTACACAAAAACTAACACCTTAATATGTATTCATACTCAATTCTTCCATATACCATATACAATTACGGAGTTGAAACTAGGGAAGGAGAAGTTGAAATAGTGATGATTATCATAAT